CAATGTGGAGAGATGGAGCGGCTGGGGACTCGAGACCCAGAGAGGGAGAGGGGCTGGGTGCTGATGACTAGGGGAGAGGCTTGCAGGGTATGCCATTTGATTGGTTGATGATGCATGAAGGGGATTGTGACCATGGCAATGAAACTATATACGATAAGATGAATGTAAAGCTAATGTTCTCCCATATAAACTATCACATAATTCACAATATAACATTAAAAAAAGAGAGAGGGAGAACTGGCTGATATTCAACCATTCCAAGAAGTAGCATATGATCAAGAACCAATGGTACTGAAGGCAGAGTCCAACCTGCACTGAAAGTATTGGTGAAAATACAGGTTCCCTGAATTGATGGAATACAAGTTAAAATCTTTCACAAACTGATGCTGCACTGGAGACACTCACTCATCGATGCCAAGAAATTTGGAAGACAGTTAGCTGGCCAACCAATTGGAAGAGATCCATATTTGTTCCTATTCCAAAGAGAGGTGATCCAACTGAATATCATTAATATCACGTGCAAGTAAAATTTCTCTGAGGACAAATAAAAAACGACTGCAATGGTACATTAACAGAGAACTGCCAGAAATTCTAGCTGGATTTTGAAGAGGGCATGGAATGAGTAATATCATTGCTGATGTCAGATGGATCTTGGTTCAAAGCAAAGAATACCAGAAAGATGCTTATTTGTGCTTTATTGACTATGCAAAGGCTTTCAACTGTATGAATTGTGAAAAACTATGGATAACATTGCAAAGATTGGGTATTCCAGAACTCTTCATTTTGTTCATGAAGAGCCTGTACATAGACCAAGAGGTAGTCATTTATAGGGAACAAGGGGATACTGAATTGTTTAAAATCAGGAAAGGTGAGCAACAGGGTTGTATTCTTTCCACATACTTATTCAGTCTGTATGCTGAGCAGATAATCTTAGAAACTGCATTTTATGAAGAGATATGTGGCTTCAGAATTGGAGGGCGATTCATTAACAACATGCAGATGATACAACTTTGGTTGCTGGAAGTTAAGATGATTTAAAATACTGATGAAGATCAAAGACTACAGCATTCATATGGATTGCACTACAATATAAAGAAAACAATACTTACAAGTGGATCAATAAATAACATCCTGCACCATCCTCACAATTGCTGCTACATTTGAGCCCATTGCTGCTGCTACTGTGCCAATAAATCTCATTTGGGGTCTCCCTCTTTTTTGCTGACCTTCCACTTTACCAAGCACAATGCCCTTCTCTAGGTACTTTTCTCTCTTGATATGTCCAAAGTATGAGATTCCAAGTCTGGCTATCTTGGCTTCTAAGGAGCATTCTAGTTGTACTTCCTCCAATACAGATTTTTTGTTTTTATGGCAGTCCATGGTAACTTTGATATTCATCTTCAATACCATAACTCAAATGCATCAATTCTTCTATGATCATCCTTATTTGTTGTCCAACTTTCACATGCATATGTTGTTGTTGTTGTTGTCAGGTGCCATCGAGTCGGAACCGACTCATAGCGACCCCATGCACAGCAGAACGAAACAATAACCGATCCTGGGCCAACCTCACTACCGCCGCCACACTTGACGCCATCAATGATGTCACCTGGCTGATCCATCTCATTGGGGTTCTTTACTGGTGATTAGAATGCAAAAGTCTCATTACTGGTGATTGGAATGCAAAAGTAGGGAGCAAAAAGGAGGGTCCAGTAGTTGGAAAATTTGGACTTGGTGATAGAAATGATGCTGGAGAACGAATG